AATCATAGTGAGTATTAGAAAAATTATGTTTTAAATATGGGCCTTTGTATCTTTTATCACATTCTCTCCTGCTGTGCTTATTACCTAATAATTTTTGACACTAGTGATTAAATATAAAATTTTTACGTTTTATGATTCTATTTCAAGTACACAATTGCCAGCATATATATCAAGGCCAAAATTAGGCTCTTCTTAAAGAATCTGTAATTATATTTATGCATTAAAATGTCAGCTGTTTAAAATGAGTGATTTCAAACAATATTTTTATGTAATTGTTTTAAAAATCAAACTATTAATCAGACTTTATTGTCAATCTCAACTAATGGCTTGCTTTTCAATATTTTAAACCACTCAGGATGTTCTCTAACTTGAATAATCTTTATCAGCAATTTAAACAGTTATTTAAACAACAACCACAACTCAAATGTGAGCACACTCAGTAAACAAAATCTCCTCAGCAGCAGAATTTGGCCTAGAGTAGGAGTAAAATCCATCACTGAGAAAGCACTTTGTGGTTTACAGTTCTGTGCAACACTCAAAATATGAGAGAAAGGAAAAATGAGACCTTTCTTGAGGAGGTCAGGAGCAGGAAACTTAAAATTTTATTTCAACAATGATTTATTTTTCTGGCCTCTGTTTCCTAGATCTTTTTTTTAATACACTTGCTTAGGAGGCCAGATCTCCCTTCCAGTCAATAATATATAAACAAAATAATCTTCGAGTTCTGTTCTTCCCTAAAATGGTGTTGCTTTTGCACTTAGCAGATGTCACAGAGCCAAGCTGGATCCCTGAGTCAGTGATGTTGCTGTTTACTCAAATGCCAGTGGGTATACGAATCGCATTTGAAGTAACGGATATTTTTAATATCCCAGATGATGAGCTCACATAGCACAATAATTTCAGGCCAACAGCAAATCCCAAAGAATTTAGGATGTGGCAGCCAGCGAAGATGCTTGGCTGGAACACCTCGAGAAGAATGATTTAAAAGAGTGGGAGTTAATTTATAAGTTTTTAAACAGTGTGCCAAGGGAAAAATAAGTCTTCTGTACATCTGCCTACATTTTTTTGAGATCAGATTTCAGTGACTGAATGATAAAACAAAATGAAATAAAACAGGGGGGAAAAAAAAAGAAAAAACCTAACCAAAACCAGGTGAGCGGATTTGCATGGGAGGCAATTTATTCTTTAGTTTGCCTGCAGGAAGAAAACAAAGTGATATTGCATTTTGATAAGTACATACTTTCAAATATTACACCTAGCTCAATCACAAATATGGATTTCTGGATGTTAACTGCAGCTTTTAATTCTACTTTGACAAATTTATGTAAACAAATAGACCTGGAACGGACAATCCCTGGAAGTTTTAATCTCTTTTATGTAATCTTTGCCTGAGCTTCCCCACTGGAGGCTATCTGTAAACTGGCTGTGAATTATTGCTTGTGCTTGTTTCCCTCCTGAGCAGTTCTCCAGGTGACTACAGCTGCTGCTTAAAGGAAGCACCAGTTTTTGTCTATCTCAAAATGCAAAGGTGGCTGTGGCATTTTTTGTAATTTTGTCAATTATCCGGTGTGATTTCTGCATTTTTCTCACTCCTTATCTGTGGAATTATGTTTGAAATGGATCACCCATGCCATGGGAATTCAATACCTTGAATTCTTCTATTAGCTCAGGGTTAACCATACCCAGAAAAAGCAATGGTGACTTAGCTACACTGCCACATTTCTCTTGGTTGCACTTGATTTCCACCCAAAATGATAAATCAGTCCATATCAGACATCACTTGTCCCAACCCTGGAGTAGTCCAAGACCAGGCTGGATGGGACTTGGAGCGACCTGGCATAGTGGAAGGTGTCCCTTCCCTGACAGGGGGTGGAACTGGATGGATTTCAAAGTCAATTCCAGCCAAACCATTCTGTGATTCTATGGTGATGCTTAGCCCACATTTGCCAAAAGGTTCGCGAACCCCATTGGACATGGCTTAGTCTCTGGATCTGTAACAAAAGCATGAACAAAGCTACTTTCCCCTGCTGCAGGTTTTTTTTAAGGAATCTTTATCATTATTCTAGGAATCAACATTCTACTTGCTTAGAGGGTAGTGAAAAATTATTAAAATAATAAGATTGAGAAACAGTGAAAATTAATCTGCCCAGGACTGGAAGACTTTTGCATGAAATTAAAGACTTGTAAATAAAGTATTTCAGATGCTTTAAACTTAACAGTGAGGATGACACTTCAGGCTGGATTACAAGACTTCACCCAAAAGTTACAGTGGCCCCCAGACAGATAGCAAGGAATAAAATTACAAAGGGATTTTCAAATTATAGATCTGACACAGGGCAAAGTTTGATTATTTTGATTAATTTGGCTCAGACAGCAAAGGTATACCTGCAGGTAAAAGAGACCACACCTTCCTGTAGTACTTTTAAATGCTTTTTGCAACAATATGATTGCTGTTACTGGAAGGAATAACTACATTTTCTGGGTGCTGGTGAGACCCTTTGCCTCCTACATTCAAACTCAATGGCACCAAAGTAAAAAACAGCATGAGGCTGAAAGTAGCAATAAAGAAAACACCACCAGGTGTTATTACATACTACAGGATCCCTTAATTCAAGCAGTAATACTTCCAGTACCCTTTGATTCACTGGGCAGGTAATTCTGCTAGGACTGAACTTCATCTCCAACTCACCCAGAAATGTGGGATACACCAGGAAAGTACATTTTTGAATAGAAATCAGAAATGTGAACTGTTCTTCTGCCTATTACATCACCAGATTTGCTTCATATATGAGAAGTGTTCTTTTTTTGTCCCCACAGTCATGGTAAAGCATTTGGTGCACACTGAGAGCTCCTTGCTCACCGACAGTGCAGGCAGTTGGCTCTGCTTGGAGATTTCCTGACTTTTAAGGCTGCATTCTTCCAGCCAGTCTTGCTGTAGTTTAAACTGCATTGTATGAGTTTCCCTTTCCTTTTTGGAATAGTATAATTTGCTTCATAAATTACATATGGTGGAAGCCTGTTGAATGAATAACCTTGTTGCACAGAAAATTAATTCTTTTGACAGGTTTATTCCTTTAACAGATATTTGGTGGAGGATTTTACTGCATTATTGTATATATTGTGGCTTGCTGCACAGAAAATGTTTCACAGTATTTCAGCAGATTTATTCCTTTAACAGAAATAACTATTCCTGTCCGTTTACCATTTGTTACCTATGAAATAAATTTCTTAGCTACAGATTCTTAAAAGAGGCTCACTTGTTTTGCTCTTGTGTTTCATTTCAGTGCAGAGAAAATACATTTTCCCTTCAATCAGCATTCATTTAAATGCATGGTAATATATACAGTTGTAATTAACCATATTTTGTTTGATTATGTTAATCTCTAACAGTGTTAATTTCCTTATATATATGTTTATGTGATTTTTTTTTTAAATTAACTTTTTACCATGCCTTACTAGAATATCTTGGATTATTTAAGGCTCCTCACACTATCTTGGCATGAGAATTACATAGCACAGATAGCACGACAGCAAAGGAAGTCAGATTGAATGCCACATGACCTGATTTAAGCAAGGCTAATTATGTAATTAAGATATTGAAACAGGAGCCAGAATCTCTGAGTGCTGCTCCTAGTTTCGCCAAGAACCTCCAGTGGGACATTTAGCATTTAGCTTTTCTGTTCACTAGTTTTTCCTGCTGTGAAGGGGGGATTCTGATATTCAACAAGCAGAATACACAGGAGAAAGCTGCTCTGGGTGCACTGCCCACTGCACACCACGGCTCATATGTGCAAAGTCTTTGTAAAAAATTTCCAGTAGTTTGCACTGTTTTGGTTTTCAATTTAATTTATTAAATTTAGGAAAGATTGAGTTGATTTTTTTTTCTTTTCCTCTTCCCCCCACCTCCATCCCCTTCCTCCTTCATTATTTGGATGCTTAATTTAGGAAATTCAAGTTCTGTTGCTTTGAGATTTAGAATTTGGTGGATAATCAGCTTCAGGAAACTGATGCTCTGAGCATGACAGTGATGTCTACCCTACATTACACTGGGACCCAAGAAATAAGAGACAAAGAAAATAGATATGAATGGAGTTTACGACTGACTTCTCATAAGATATCAAGACAAGAGACACTTATGTTATATCAGTACAAACGTCTGCACAGCCAATAAACTTCTCCAAATAAATGTTTGTAGACTGCTGACATAAAAAAATAAAAAAGAAGGGAAAAAAGAATGCACAGAAACTGATTTTCTTTTATAGCATGGAGTTTTTTTCAGTATTTTCTTATCAATGCCTGTATACTTGAAACATCAGAACTTTCCTGTCCAAGACTCCAGGTCTTCCTTAAACTGAGCAACACCAACATAATTTCTACACACTTGGAAATCAAAACACTTTTTTCCAAACCCAAAAGCAAGCATCCCAGCTGATCAAGACAGAAGACTCTCCTCAAAGAAAGAGAAAACATATTAAATATATAAACCTAAGTGGATAAGTAGATGGGTAGGTAAGTAGGTAGATAGATAGATAGATAGATAGATAAAACCCAAAAGCAAGCATCCCAACTGTTCAAGACAGAAGACTCTCCACGAAACAAGAGCAAAACACATTAAATATATAAACCTAATTGGATAGGTAGATGGGTAGGTAGGTAGATAGATAGATAGATAATTTTGTCTGGAAGGCTATGAGTTAATAGTCATATGGTTCTTAGAGAAGAGGAGAAAGACAGTGGCACACACAAGATCCCAGTCCATCACAAAAATAGGCTCTATGTAAAAATCATGTTTGCTTTCTTTAATCTTGGGGGTAACTTTAGGATTACATTTGGCTCCACTATCATATCCTTCTAAAATCCTTTTAAACACTTGTCCTTGGACTGCTTTCATGGCTCTGATGTGTGAAAAAATTACAAAATAGCATGTAGTGAATGTAAAATCAGAGACATGGCAAGGTGATGCCAGTGCAGAGGGACTGCAGTTTGGAGTGGTGGAGAACATGGCATGGACAGGCACCATCTCATACCCAGAACCTACACTTGTGTGGATTTCCACGCTGGAGCATTTCAGAGACCTGCTCAGTCCGTTTTCTGCTCTAACCATCAATCTGAACAGCCTGAGGCTGAAGCACAGGTCTCCGAAGACAACGGTGACAACAGCGTCAACGCTTAACCCAAGTGAGTGAAGAAACAGAAGCTTTGATAGGTCACATAAATACTTTGGAGGTGGGTGGGTGACAATGTGTAAGCCATAGTGAGAGCTTTGGAAGACTTCCCTGCCGTCCTGCTGAATTTAGCAGTGCTCAGACTCATCTGCAGCAGAAACGTGACCTCCCGATTTAGATCGCACAGCTCTCGAATAATGCTCCAGGAATAGGATTCACACTCCTGATCCAAGCTGATTTGGGGTAGGGATCTGGACATTCTAATTGCCCACAGATAGTGCAAGAAAGAATGAAAGAACGTTCTTTTAATTAATGACTTCTGGCTATGTCAAGACAACTTTGTAAGTCCTACTGAGAAGGTAACTCTGGTGAGGCAGAACTCTCAGGAAAGAAAACTTCACCAACACAAACATCCCAGAAGATACTCAATGTTGTGTTTCATTGAAGAAAAAAACAGAGAACCTGACTCACTTCTTCGTAAATACAGCAAGCTAGAGTTGTATGGCAGGGAAACCATCAAAAGTCTGTGTTTCATTGAAGAAAAGAGACAGAGAACCTGACTCACTTCTTTGTAAACACAGCAAGCTAGAGTTGTATGGCAGGGAAACCATCAAAAGTCTAGGCTAGCCTAGGAGTGAATTATTCCCAGCCAAGTCTGTTCTTTCTGAATTTTCTCAAGATTAATGAGCAACTCTGCAAGTGGCCACCACATACTCCTCATTTTGCAATTTCTGGGGAATACCCTGTCTCCGGTGCTGTTGTTTAATTATAGGCTAGTAAAAAAAATATTCCAAAATTCTCTGAGAGAGAGGCCAATAGATATATGGAAAACACATGAATATGCAATTTTAACAGCTGAAACTATATATATCTGGCAGACCTTACCTAATGGTTCAACCAAATCCCCTTGGCAAGCTTATGCCAATGTTATTTTTACTGTTTCACTGGTTTGTTATATATGTAAAAGAATAATATTTTATCCGAGTTTCAAGGCAGCTGGTTCATTCATGATAGGCCCAAAAGGCAGCTTTAAAAAGGACAAAAGTAAATTATTTTGTATGGAGTAGCCAAGAGTCCACTCAGAGGCAACTATTTGTATTTCTCACCTTGAAAATCAAACAAATTGTCAATCAACAAGTTACCCACAACTGGAATTTGAAATGGTAAATTATATTTCTCTGACAGACACACTGAATTTCACAGTAGAATGATTTCTTTTTCTTTCTTTCACAGGGACGAATCCAAAAGACATAATGTGGGGAAAATACAAAATTATACTTTGAAATATTTGGAAAATGCAAGTTTACAATGGCAATTTATTCTGTGTGTGCCTGTGCACCCACACAAGCACAAACTCATCTCTTCTGCTGGACTTGCCTTCATCTGTATTTGCATCCAGCTGTCTTCCTCACAATCACCAAAACAACAGAAATTTGTTGAGGATGACACACGATCGACAAGGAGATTTTAGTCATGGCATCAAATTAGAAAATTCTCAATCCTGACTAAGATGCAGCTTGGAAACGAGCTGCCAGCAACACCCTCTGAAGCAGATGGTTCCCACCACTTGGAATGCTCCTTTCTGTGCACTCCAGTGACTCCTGAAATAACAGAGCTCTACAGAACGGGGAGGAAGATGAGTGGAAAGTCAGACAGTGCTGAGCTCCACTTAGCAGCCTCTTAGCAATGGTTTGGTCAATGCTCCTCTGCCCACTTGAGAAAAATCACTGGCAGGTCATCGCTAATGACACGTCTTTATCCTATCCAGGGCTGTACTACAAACAACCATTGGATATCTTTCAGCCAGTGTGACTCAGACTTGTTAAAAAAGGGATACCAGAGCAGGATGTCATAAAGAGCAGGCCACTGGCATAGCTCAGCATAATTGAAGCAATAGATGGAACAGAATCTATTGTACAAATTGTCCAATAAAATAAATTACTTATAAGGTGTCTTAAAACATGCTGGAAAGTTAGGAATCTTGAACAATATCAGGTGGTGAATAAGGATCACAGTTTTAACAGTTTGGATGCTTGATGAAGGGCATAGTTTGCCAAGAGTTGAGGAAGGTTATCAGTTACATGACGTTTTTAGAATCAAAATCTCCTGCCTTTCTAAAATGTTCTTTCTTTAGGCCATGAGTTACTGAGAACAGTGAAGGAATAGCTAAATAAAATGCTAAGGATTTTGCTCCACAGGATGTCAAATTAGATTATCCACCCTTTAAAGCTATAAATACATGAATTATTACACTTGTTTTACAAATGAGAAAACTGAGGCATAGACAATATCAAAGGGCTTTATAAATGTGAGCGACTCAATAACATTCTGCTATTGTTTATTATCCATATTCCTGTTTTTAAATGACAGAACGTAGGCACATAGAAATGAAATGACTATCTAAAGTCACACCAGTCTCCTCCTTTAACCTGATAAATGGGTAAGCAGGCATGCCATTTTGACATACTAATATATATGTTAAGGTATTAATTTCCCATACATCTTGAATATATGGATCATTGGGGAGCACTTTCTGTTGAAAACAGCAACAGTCATATTTTTCTCACTTGAAACTTTTTTCTTATTGTGATACTTACATTAAATGGAAAAAGTCCTTGTTTTTTCTCTAAGCTTGGCAAGAACAAAGACTAAAAGGCATATTAGTTTCTGTGGCAGAAAAGAGGGATTTGGGGCTGGAATACATAATGGTCAGAGCTAAGGAGGTGGGATTCCATCCACACATACTGGCCTACAGAATATCAGTGGTAAATTCCTCTCAGTCCATTCAGGGTGGATTATTTTTGGTGAAAAATTAATCAGCAGTGTTTCAAGGTATTTAGGAGGGCAAAGAAGCAATGTCTTTCCTTTATGGCTACACTGCAGTGATCAGTGCCTCTGCAGGTGTGTAATTTAAAGAGGTGCTAGGAGAAAGATGAGCATAACCAGGAAGGATACAGGGTGTATACCAAGGTGACTGTAGAGGTTGCAGCTGAATGACTGCAGAGCTGCATAATCCTCCATCAGATAACACTTGAGTTTATTTGCCTTGATTTGAACTCTCTGCTTAGAGCCAGGACACAATGTTCAGGGGTTAACAGGGCAATGCCACACAGCACAAAATAACCTGCACGGAAAAGTTTCTCACAGAATCAGGCACGACAGTCCAGATCCTGGCCAATGTAGATCACTGAAACAGCAGTGTATTCACAGAAACTCTATTTCAACCACCCAGCCAGTGCTGTGACACTGCAGCTCTCAGATCAATCCCAGCAGAACTAAGATCACCTTCCACAACACACTCACCATTCAGCCACTTGCTCAGCCTGGCTCAGAAATAATTAGAAGTTTTCTTAATGATATTGACCTGTGTCAGGAAGCAAAGTCTCAATTCATCTGTTTGCCTCCCAACCAGTGCTAATAGTCACGGATATACCAAAAAGGAAAAGTGACTGACTTATCAATATTATTTTCCTTGTTCTTGATCTAGGTCATCAAGTAGATTAATATGTAGTTGCAAGCTGTTCATTCATTGTAGAGGAGCATGTACATAGCAGGAAATATCTCCCATGGCACTGATAAACTCTCAGAGGCTATAGGCCAAGGTGTTTATGCTCCAATGGAGACATTTGTGCCAAGTACCTGCTCCCAGTGATATAGTTATAAGCATTAAACTCGAAATGTAACTTTAAAAATCTATTACGGTCTATAGCTTTTATTATTTCCAAGACGGACAACTGTGTTGGTTATTATCAATATGTTGTGAAAAGAGCTCTGACGCCTGGGATTTGAGCTGGGGGGATGGGGAAAAGGCACCCGGGAACACTTAGACCAAATGTTAACAAACTGATAAAGCGTTGCAAAAATGTTTGAGGCAAATGTTTCCCTTTTCCAGCCCCACACCAGCTTTCAGCACACCCAGCAGGAGCAGTGCGAGATAACCTTTAGCTGATAACATCTCCACACTTCCTTGCCAGGATCTCTCTTTGTGACTAGGATGGCAATTTTTCCACTCTCTCCATTTCTAAGATCTTCCTTCCATACTCCTCTCCTGATTCTGTTGTCTATATGGATGTCCCACAGACTTACCCAACCATCACTATCTCTGAATCCACTGTACCTGCTACTGACTTTTGACTGTCTTCCTCTTTGCTTTGTGCTCGTGACTTTGCCATCTCCTTCAAGAACAAGTCTTCCTCACTTCTGTGAGGGAGGAAACTGGGTTCAGAGACACTAATTTCTCTCTTGGCATGGAAGTTTTCCTCTTTGTTGCCAAGTTCATCTCAGTGGAAGGTTCCTTGCCTGTGGCAGGGGGGTTAAGACTAGGTAATCTTTACAGGCTCTTCCAACACAAACAGTTCTGTGATCTTTTTGTTGGAAGCATCTGTCACAAGATCAGATTCCTTTTTTCCTCCCTCAGGTTTTCCCTCCTAGCTCCTGACCTTACTTTTGGTTGTCACAGGTGTACCTCTTGGTGCAACTGTGGCACAAGGGCCACCTCTGGCTGGTGGTCCCTGTCAGCACACTTGTGTCCCCTTCCACATAATGAGGGGAGGGGAAGGAGAAATGGGAAACTCATGATTGCAAAAATCCTTCCAGAGCCAACATACACAGAGAAAAATGCACAGAAACAGCCCATATATGACAGGTCACAAAGTAAAATCACCTTAAAAGAAGGAAAAATATTTCTAGCACATTGACACACTGGAAGTCAGAACACTCTTAAACTAGATTTGTATTTAAATTGCTTTGGAGGACAAAGACACAAGATATGTCTTCCAATAATAAGTTACTTTTCTGACCACATGAAAATGTGTGGAATGTCAACAGCTGTGGGTGTTTCAGGCTGTTTACCAGTAAAATGGTTTTTGCACCCACTGTCATGTAGTGTTACAGCTCTTTAAATGGGTGAACTCTTTGATGTGAATCCTGGGGCAGCAGGAGCCACATAAGACAACAGAGAAGAGTTCAAAGTTTCGGAGACCTAACACAGAACCAAACCCAAAAAAGTTGTGA